CTGAAAAGCCACTAGTCGGCCTTATCATGCAACAACTTCATGGTAGTCAACAGAATATATTCAGTAATGAATTTAGAAAATACCATATACAATTGACCATATACAGATCCAGCTATTTGCTCTACCCCACAACCCCTATCAAAATTAACGATCTCTTCTCCTGGAATTCTATCCTGTTGTGTCGTAAGATTGCCACACCTTTCCAAAGAAACCACAGGCATTTTGTACTTTATCTTCCTCAGGATACAAGGAGGCCCAGAGTAAAACAGCAGAAAGACAGCAGAGGTTAAACAGGCTTCTGTGAGTTGATAGGGAACTTCAACAGCATCATTAAGTTTGTCCAAGTGACTTGAACAGGGTCTTGAACAACACTGTGACTTGGCACCCACTTTTGTGCTACATACAATAGGACACCACTATCCCCATGCATCATTTAGAGTACTTAACATATGCTGGACAGTATGCTAGGTGTTTATCTCAATTCTTACAAACAATTCTTGAAGCAATATTACTATTAGTACTTCTTTCCAGAGAAGAAAATTGAAGTTTGAAAGCATTAATTGCCTTAGATCACCTGTTTTCCGAAAGACCCTGGAATTAAGAATTACTTTTACATTTTTTAAAGGTTATGAAAACAAAGAAGAATGTGCAACAGAGCTCATATATGGCCCCAAAAGCCTAAAATATTTACTATCTGGCACTTCACAAAAAAAGTTTACTGACCCTGCACTAGTTGACAGAATTAAATAGTCTGATTCCTAAACAAATCCTCTAAATCAGGGTTTCTCAATCTTGGCATGGTTGACATTTTGGGTTGGATAATTCTTCGTTAGCAGCATCCCGATCTCTGTCCACTGGATGCCCATAGCAGCAGCCCTCCCCCACCCCAGTTGTGACAACCCAAAATGCCTCCAGACATTGCCAAACGTACCTTGGGCAGCAAAATCGTCGCCCGCTGAAATTATCACTCTAAATGGTCTTCAAACTGGGGACAAATAAAGTCTTCCATGGGGCATACACCAACAACATGTGTAATTTTAAGTAAAAGGCTTCCAGATCCTTTACTCCCATGAGTACTCCTCACTAAACCGAACTGCCTGAGAATATGCCCACTGTTCAGTTATTATGCTAGTTTTAATCCTTTCACAATCTTCCACTTTACGAAACAAAGGCATACTTCTCACCCACTCCTATTCTTACTATGCTACACTGCCTCAGGATGGAAAAGCCTCCCTACCAATAAGCAATAAGTCAAAGGGTTCGAAGACCCTCCTTTAATTTAGGCACAACTCCCACTATCCATTCCATTAAGAAACAGATTTCCAGTAAACTTCTACTTTTAATAATTATTCTTCATTAAAATCCATCAGGTGTTTATGCTATTCTGATCAACTATTTATAATAACTCAACCCAAAAGAAAAATTACAACTTACAGAATTAGTTATAGGACATTTTTAAACTTAGTTTCAATTTATATAAACATTGTTATTAAAGACATGTATCACAGAGATTAATAAAAAGCTTTCAAGCATAAAAATACATTATCTTAAGATAATATTCTGTGGGGTACGGGTGATAAAAAAGTAAAATTTTTTCAAAAGGGAAGTGTGTAAAATATAATGTATTTTAAAAATTGATAGTGATGGATATAAAACTACAAAGATACGATACTCCACTGAATACAGTTAAAAGACTGATGTACCAACATATTAAAATGTTAATATCAATCCCATGTGGGAAATTGCATCCTTTTCAACTAACGGATGATGTAAAATGCTCTAAGTTAACCAAAAGTGTGCAAGAGGGACAGTTTTACAAAAATTATTTCGGGGTTCACAAGCAAATTAAAAGTACTGCTTTAAAAATCACTCACTACTATTATATATGGCAAAGATATAATGGACATGGTCTGTCTCCGGCCTTTAGAAGCACCAAAATTTGCTATCTTTTGTTAGGCTCTCTAAATGTGTCCGGCACTTTTCTAAGGTTATCCAATTCTCACTCTTGGAGGTTGATACCTGATTTTTTAAATGTTTTACAAATATAGAGCAGCTTGCCCAAGAACAGGGTTAGTAAATGATAGATTCAAATCAGTTCATGGATCAGAAGACTATCTGTCAAGAAAATTAAATGAGCTCTCGCCTGTAATCCCAGCTACTGCACAGGCTGAGGCTGGAGAACAGCTTGGGCCCAGAAGTTCAAGGCTGCAGTGAGTTATGACCGCACCACAGCACTCCAGCGAGCCTGGGTGACAGAGCAAGACCTTGTCTCTTTAAAAAAAGAAAAGAAAATGAAAGAAAAATGAAAATGAAAATTAGACGAAATGTGTTTGATTCCAAATCTAAAAGTCCTACTATGTTTACAAGTCAGCAGAGTGAGGGAAGGGTGAAGAAAACCCAGTGTCCCACGGTAGAAAGTCATGTGGTTTAAATCTTCAGTAGGTAGCATTTGAAAGCAGAAGCGAGGCATAATGAAGGCATTTAGCTAGAAGCAATATTTACCTTGGGTATACCTTTATTTCTTTTTTTTTTTTTTTTTGAGACGGAGTCTGGCTCTGTCGCCCAGGGTGGAGTGCAGTGGCCGGATCTCAGCTCACTGCAAGCTCTGCCTCCCGGGTTTACGCCATTCTCCTGCCTCAGCCTCCTGAGTAACTGGGACTACAGGCGCCCGCCACCTCGCCCGGCTAATTTTTTGTATTTTTAGTAGAGACGGGTTTCACCGCTTTAGCCAGGATGGTCTCGATCTCCTGACCTCGTGATCCGCCCGCCTCGGCCTCCCAAAGTGCTGGGATTACAGGCGTGAGCCACCACGCCTGGCCTACCTTTATTTCTAAGCTTATTTCACATACAGTATGACGAAAGATTTCCTAAACAATGTGTCAATGGAGAGAACAAGATGGCTACTGAGAAAGAGAAGTGTGTCTGTGTGTAGGGTGGAGTGGGAGGGCTAATCCCACAGGGTTGCTTAATAACCTTCCTTGCTGCATCTGCATCTTAAAGAGAAAAAAAGGTTACACAGAGAGAAGAGCCTGGATATCCAGAGGTTATATAAGTCTAAAGGTCAATTTCAGTCTAATCTCTGGGGAATCTCAACACAGAAAGAAAAAGGTTTAAATTAAAATATCACATTTTTATTTTGGGACTGGGATTTACTATATCCTCAGCAGTCTCAGAAAATACATTTTACAGAAATAAGGATTGTAGGATGGTGACTTTTAAAAAAGCCTATTCCATTCCTAAGCACAATTACGTGTCAATCAAGTGTCCTGAAAAGATAAAAACCATTATCACATGATTTCACATTCTTCAATTTTCAAAGTTAAGAAGAGAAAGTCTTTGAAACGATAATCTGATGTATTAAACAGTACCTACACCAGTGTAATAGTCTTCAATAACAAACCAAAATGTGTTCCTAGATACCAGTAATTCACCTAAATTCTAATTTGTTAACGTTCTAATAAAACACATTTATTTCAACATTACTATATGTATATGTGTATATGTCTTAAAAAATACCCAAGAGCAAAGGTAAAAGTCTGAATTAAAATACCTATTTAGTTCGATTCCATAAACATTGAAAGTAGTAACTCTCTCACTTCACTCTCAACAGTCAACATTACAAGCAGTCTTTAATTATACCGCATTTATCTCCCCGGAGCTAGCAGAAGTTGATCGAATGCCTACTTGGTCCTTTACCAAAAAAGCGGAGGGGGCTTTGTCTAATACCTGTATGCACCTCCCTCCGTAGCATCATTCTAGCTTGTTAGGGAAACTACAGACAACGACGGTTCAGAGAGTGCCACAGGTGAAGCCCACCCGAAACCACATTACAGAAAGGCTTCCTGTTTCAAGCAGGTCCAATAAAGCCACGAAATGAAGGCTACGATGATAAAGAACTGAGAATCAGAAAATATTTCCATATGGGTGCGGTCTTCTATTACTTTTTCCCCCACTTTCGGAAATGTCAAAGAAAAATTGCTACATTCTTAAACATGAGGCCATCATTTCAAAGGCAGTAACAACCTGGAACGCAAATTCGTTAAATTAGAATACAGTAAGGCCAACCTCGAGGATCCTCGGTGGACTACTAGTGCACTTCTTTACAACTAGAAAGTGGAAAACTGGGTCAGCCCCACAGTCACGCAATAATGCCGCGTCACGAAACTGCGCGTTCCAAGAGAAACTTTTCTCATGCCCAGAATTAAGCCGCAGGGATCCTCCGCGCAGCTCAATCTCTAGGACGCATGAAGGAATGTATTGTAAAGAGTAAAATCACGCGCAATCTATCCCAATACAACTGCAGTTGTTCGTGGGCCTTCTTGCAGAGAAAGGCTGCCGAACCTTGACGGGGCCGTGGGCGCTGCGGGAGGGCAAAAGACCACAGAGATCCGCGAAGCCAAAGCAAACAACGACGTTGGGGCCGCGAGAATGATCAATAGCGATGCTCCGAAAAGACCCCGCGACGGGAAGCGAGCGGGAAGGAGTCACTCCAATCTAACAGTCCACGGGTTAGAGGCAAAAGGTTCCCTAAATACCACGTTCCGGGGAAGGGCCTGAGAACAACTTCTCAAACTATTCTCTCTCGAAATCGCTCCCTTCCTCGAAAGTTCCATCTCTGAGACTCGGAGGAGGCCCCGAACCCCTCCGCCCTAGTCCCGTGACCGTCGCCCGCTCAGCCTCCCAGCCGAGTCCGCCGGGCCTGGGGCGCCCACCCCGCCCCCCCAGGGGACCGCGCAGGGGTGAACTCCCCCGCGCCCCACCTGCGCCTTCCAGACCTCGGGCGCCCCGGCGTCGCCTCGAGATCTCCCCGCGCGGCCGCCGCGGCACTGGCCAGCTCCCGCTCCCTCACACGGGTCGCCGCTGCGCTCGCCGGGGACCGGTCCCCAGGTTCCCAAGGCCTCGCGCGCGCGCTCGCCGTGGCAACTAAGACGTTCCCAGACGCGCGCTCTCGAACGCTCCGCGTCACGAGACCGCGCCGCTCCGCCCCGCCCGTCGGCCTCGCTCCCGCCACCGGGCCCGCAGCACGCCGCCGCCGCCGCAGCCTAGGTCACGTGAGTGCCCACGCGCGCGTCTTGTCAGCGGATTCGTCGCCGGCCTGCTCAGACTAGGTTCTGCCCACTCTGACCTCTAAATGGTACGTGGGAGGACGTCCGTCCCCTTCGAACCCAAGAGTCACCGTAACACTGTAGAAGGGGAGAAAAGGAGCGAGGGCGGCAGGCGACAGAGAACCTCGCGAGTCAGCGGTTTCGCGCAGACCCCCCCAGGCACAGTCCCCTGCGGCCACGTCGGCTGCTCCGCGCCTGCGCAATCTCCTTCTCCCCCGCAAAACTGAGGCCTCCGGAGGCACTAGAAGAGAGTGTGGGCAGTGAGCGCTTGTAGCCGCTAGAGGGAGCGCTGAGCACAGTGCGCGAGAGACAACAAAGACTGATTGTCCCCTCAATGCCTCTGCAGCCTCAGCTTTGTGACTTCTGTATCCAGAGCACAGTTAGTTTCCAAAAGCCCGCCTGCACCACGTGTTTTAAGTCTGGGTGTGTGTGTAAAGTCTATATCACTATCATAAAACTGTTAGTTCCTGACTCCAGGATACAAAAAGTAAAATCAAAATGAACATACTTTACCTTTCTTGACAAGTGTTTTTAAGTAAAATATTGCAGATGACAGACTTGTACTCTTCAGTAGGCCTGCCTTAGGAAAAAAACAGAAAAAAGAAAAAGCAGTATGTGCTTGCCCTGAGCATTTAGGACCAGTTTTGTTGTTGTTGTGTTTTTGTTTTGTTTTGAGACAGTCTTACTCTGTTGCCCAGGCTGGAGTGCAGTGGTATGATCTCGGCTCACTGCAACCTCCGCTTCCCAAGTTCAAGCGATTCTCATGCCTCAGCCTCCAGAGAAACTGGAATTACAGCTGTGCACCACCACTCCTGTCTAATTTTTGTATTTTTAGTAGAGACGGGGTTTCGCCGTTTTGGCCAGGCTCGTCTCGAACGCTTGACGTCAAGTTAGCCAGGCTGGTCTCGAACTCCTGACCTCAAGTGATCCGCCTGCCTCTGTTTCCCAAAGTGCTGGGATTACAGGCGTGAGCCACCGCGCCTGGCCTTAGGACCAGTTAAGTGACTCTCCTAAGGATTGCAGTGACTTACTCCAGATAAATTAATCAGATTAATTTAATCAAAATTAATTAGTGATGGGGACTATTGGACTGGAAGAGGGTTTTAAATGTAAAACTGGGAGCCATTTGGTACTTCCCTCAAATCTCAAAAAGGTAGCAGTCAGTCGTCCTAAAAAGCAAAACCTATTAGAGAGGAATATATTAATACAGTGGTTTCAAAATGATTTGCTCTTATACCCCCAAAGGAATCCCCAAAGACTGTGACTGTTTTCTTCCACATTTTTGGATTGACCATCACAATTTCTCATCTGACTTAAATAGTTACAAAAGAAGCAACTTCTGTTTTATCGTAAATTATCATTTTAAAATAAAAGTTATGTAACTTTTAAATGTAGCCAGTAGAATCTAAATACCAATTTAACATCTAACATCATCAATTTTTAAAACTATGTGAACAAGCTTTTAACAGAAGGAAATTGTACATCATTTCTTTTCTTCTTGAACTCGTATTTCCATTCCATATTGTGAAATTGTATCCCAATATTTCTTTAGTCTTACAAATATTGGCCAGGCTTGGTGGCCTGTAGTCCCAGCTACTCCAGCTACTCCAGAGGCCAAGGCAGGAGGATCGCTTGAGCCTAGGAGTTTGAGACCAGCCTGGGCAACATGACAAAACCCGTCTCTACAAAAAAACACAAAAATTAGCTGAGCATGGTGGTACACATCTGTAGTCCCAGTTACTCCAGAGACTGAGTTGGGAAGATCACCTGAGCTGGGGAGGCAGAGGCTGCAGTGACTGAGATTGTGCCACTGCACCCCAGCCTGGGCAACAGAGCCAGACCCCATCCTCCTTGCCCCCACCAAAACAAGAAAGAAAATCTTTTATTGGTCGTCTACTCTACTTCTTTACATTTAAAAAATACATACATTTAAATACAATTTTAAAATTTTCCAACAGCCGTAAAGATGAATGTGTTTAAAACATGTAGAATTTCTATACACAAACTTGTTATATATAGAAAACCCTAAAGAATTTACTACAACACTGTTAGAACTAATAAATGAGTTCATCAAGGATTCAGGACAACAGGTCATTTTCATATGAAGAAGCAATCAGCATAGTCAAGAAAGGTGGGAAAAAGTATTATGGGATGTGCCGAGCACCTGAATAATAGAATGATGTTACTTTTCTGGATTTTGTGGTATCTGTAGTATTTGTCAGCTTTTTTAAATTAGTAATTTTTTGATTCACTTTTATTGTTTTCCTTCAGAAGGCCATTCAAACTGTGAAAGCTGCAAGCATCACAAAACTTGGATCTGCTTAGGCCAAAGGGGGGCTTGAGATTAGCAGAAAATAATTGCTTATATTTGGAAACATGTAAAAAGCCATTTTTTAACATTTAATATATCTTATTGAAGTAAAACAAGGCTTGGATTGTCAAATCAGATTGACAAGATTCAGAGCTTTTACCCAGTCACAAGAAAATAATGGCAACATCCAAAACCACTAACCCAGCTCCCGAAGCTTCCCCGAATTCCTTAGATCACATTCTGGCTTAGATCTAGCAGGTGAGGTCTCTGAGTAAACTATGCCAGTGAACATTTACACAGATGGAGCTCTTTCAGTCAGGAGCTATCTCCATTTTATACTGAAATAATTATATGCTGGAGACTGACATTTTCCACTGGGCCATTCCATGTATTAATATATCCATCAGTTCCAGGTTTATTTACCATAGGCCATCTAGACAGACCAGGTGTACCCTGCTTTAAAAAGCATTTCATAGACAAGGACTCCCCATTCTCTTTCCACCAGAATATACCTTGCGTGTTTACAAGGAGATTTGACTTGGTCATTTCCACTTGGCCATCTCAGGATAGGAATAATTGGCTAAAGACCAGCTGCTATCACTTAACTTCTAACCTATTGCCCTTGTCTTTTTTTCTCACCAGATCCTTCTAAAAAATAATTCTCTAACAATAGTGAATAATTGTGGCTGAAGTCTTTAAATGAAAATTACCATCATACCATTATAGAAGAGAACAATATTTTGAAATCTTGGCACTGTTGGGGCTTTTACCCCTGGGTAATGCACCAGAGGAAGATTTAGGGAGCCGAGGGCTGTGTATTTCTTGCGTAAAGTGGGAGAAGTTTTAATGTGAAAAGAGGAGTAGGAAAAAAGATAGTAGGAAATAACACATAAGAAATTAAGATCTGGATATTGATTATCTTATATCCCTATAAATTTTCTGCATACCTCCAGGGGTATGCATACCCCGGTCAAATATTTTTACATCACATACTTGCAGTGGAGAGTCTGGGACCGCTAGTTCTAGAATCCAAGAGCCCGAGTTTGAAGCCGCCTTCATCTCACAGTTGTTGCCACTTAAACACTCTGAGCCTGTTTTCTCATCTGTAACACAGGGATGTGATAATAGAATCTGCCTCATAGGGTGGTTACCTAAATTAACTGAAGTAACTCATTTAAAGTTGGCACTCAAGCCAGATGCAGCAACTCACACCTGTAATCCCAGTACTTTAGGAGGCTGAGGCAGAAGGATCACTTGAGATCAGGAGTTCAAGACCACCCTGGGCAACAAAGCAAGACCTCATCTCTAATTTTGAAAAAAAAAAAAGTTTGCACTCAATAAATATTGGTAGTAATATATGAATTCTTCTGTTCTTGCTGATATTCTTTAATGATTAGCAAAGAGCAATTTGGTTCTAAGCAAATCTGAATGTTTTTTAAAGTCTAATTGTCTTCCTTAAGATTGATGGAGTTGTTTTCTCTTGGCATAGATTTATTTCACTGTACAAAAAATGGTAATATGAATACTATTATAACCCTGTCACAGTGCCATTAATAAAACAGTAGTATATACATACCATTATTTTGGTAACATAAATGTCCTCAGAAGAAAAATCTACTTGTTAATGGACTTTAGGAATGATATATGCCTATTTGGGTTTTAGGCATGCAGTATCTGTTATACTTACAAATCCTGGGTGATTATGCCAAAGACTTTTGTGTAGAAGCCTGTAGTTTAGTTAGATGAATGTGCTAAAAGTTTCATCATAAATTATGCTAGATTCAATTTCATTCAGGTTCTTATTTCTTTTATTCACGTGCTGAAAATATGTTATTTTTTCTTTTCATCTATTATATCATATTGTCAGTGGGTATTAGAAAACCCAGAGAGTATATCACATAATGATGAATATCATTAAAATGAGAAATGTCCAAATTACTTTAGCCATGAATTGAGTTAGATGTCAGGGTATCCATCTCATGAAGTGAACTTAGGTTATCACTAATGATACAACCTAATTGCTTCAAGCTCATGTTGAAATCAGTGGGATGACTCGGTGTAAACTAAAACTCCTTGTGAGTACATTATGTTGAGGGCTAATGTTTTAATAATGTTCTAAAAGTTCTACATGAGATAAGGTTTCCGACCTGTGATCTCATTACATTTTTCTTTCTTAAACTCTACATTATATGAAAAGCATGCATTTGACAAAAGATCAATAATTGTGATGTTCTTAGTAAAGTATAACTTTCCTCTTACAGACCAAATATAGTGGATGATGGGCAATCTATTGATTAAAAATGGAAAACAATTTCTTTAACATTTCTTAGTAACCTAATTTGACTTTGTACTAGCTAAATTGTATTTTTTATATTATGTTATAAATAGGCTAATGGGTTGGCTGTCTTATTTTCTATTTTATATATATATAACAGAGCGGTGGAGTGGGATTTAAAACCAGACACCAAAATTCTTCTAAGAACTGCATTCCTTTAGGAAAATACATTGGTAAGCCACCTAGATTCAAGACGGGTCCCCAAGGACACAGGCAAAATCAGACAAATAAATGAGAGAATACTTACACAGCATTTTGTAATACTGTCACTACATTACAAATGAGCAAAGATTTGCACAAATGGAGTAGGGAATGAGAAGTAGTGAAAACTGAGAAGAGGCCAGGTGTGGTAGCCTCACGCCTGTAATCCCAACACTTTGGGAGGCTGAGGTAGGAGGATCAATTGAGCCCAGAAGTTCAAAACCAGCCTGGGCAACACGGGGAGATCCCGTTTCTAAAACAAACAAAAAAAAAAGAAAAGAAATTGAAAATTAGCCAGGCATGGTGGCACACACCTGTAGCTCTAGCTACTTGGGAGGCTGAAGTGGGAGAATCTCTCAAGCCCAGGAGGTGGAGGCTACAGTGAGCCGTGTTCACATCTCTGCACTCC